GGTGATCCACCTGCCTCAGCCTCCCAAAGTGCTAGGATTACAGGCATGAGCCATGGTGCCTGGCCATCGGTAACAGTTTAATTGTACATTTTAAACTAACAAAAAGTGAGAAATTAAATTTTCTGTAATACAAAGGATAAATGCCAGAGGTGAGGCCATTGGTAACAGTTTAGTTGCACATTTTAAACTAACAAAAAGCATAAAATTAAATTTTCTATAATACAAAGGATAAATGCTAGAGGTGACAGATACCTAATTTACCATGAGGTGATTATTATATATTGTATGTATCAAAATATGCCATATATGGTTTAAATATATACACATACTATCTACCCAAAAATATTAAGTAAATTTAAATAAGAAAAAAAAATTTAACATACAGGAACAACATTCTTTAACTTCTTTGCAGTTTAAAACCACTAGCAAAAAAGATTACTACAGATACTACTTTATTACGTTAACAAATAATACTATCTTTTACCTACACTCTTGAGTAAGGTGGAATGGGTTAAGGTTAGTGGCAAAATAATGCTTTATTGAATGCACAATAGTATTTAACATGTTAAAAATGTTAAATTAAAAAGTTAGGTCTACACATAATTTGAAAGTTTTTAAATGTACTAGATTGTATCACATAAAAGTACAATTAGTAAAATAACACTATTAAATTTTAACTAAAATTAAAAATATTTTTCTCTCATAAAGCAGAATATTAAACTGAACACCTACTTCATGCATCACTCAATATTATAAGTTAACCACAAAGAGCATCCCTACTTAGATTTTCATCATATATCTTACATTTTAATGTCTTTACTCTTTCATAGAAGAGATAATAATGCCTACCTAATAAAAAACAATCTCTCATATCTTTCATGCAGGAACCATTCATCACATACTTTCACATATGAATGCAATAGGAATAAAGAAATAGCATGAATTTGAGAGTTGAATTCCATCATTATTCACATATTAAAAAATCTATAAATTTTTTTCAAGAAAAAGTATATTTTGGTGGGCACAGTGGCTCACGCCTGTAATACCAGCATTTTGGGAGGCTGAGGCAGGGTTCAAGACAACCTGCCCAATGGCAAGACCTCATCTCTACTAAAAATACAAAAATTAGCCAGGCGTGGTAACTCATGCCTGTAATCCCAGCTACTCGGAAGGCTGAAGCATGAGAATCACTTGAAGTGGGAGGTGGAGGCTGCACCTGAATGACAGAGCAAGACTTCGTCTGAAAAAAAAAAAGTAAAGCCTGGCCAATATGGCAAAACCCTGTCTCTACTAAAAATACGAAAATTAGCCAGGCATGGTGGTGTACACCTGTAATCCCAGCTACTCAGGAGGCTGAGGCAGGAGAAGCACCTGAACCTGGGAGGTGGAGGTTGCAGTGAGCCGAGATAGCACCACTGTACTCCATCCTGCACGATGGGAGCAAGACTCCATCTCAAAAAAAAAAACAACAAAAAAAAGAAAAGCATACTTTGAATGTAATAACTCTCCAAAATATCTTACACACTTTTTAAAGTTATATACAAAATATTTATGTAAATTTCAGTTTTGAGTTATTTTCTAAACTCAGCACTCTGATTTAGTGTACTGTCTGAAGTGTCAGTTCCTTAGATACATCTACTCTGAATTGATATTTACAGACTTAATTTTCAAATAACTAATTTTTTATATTACTGCATCTGCAAAAATATATTTTAGTATGAACTCTCTGGTGTTTCCTAGGCTGTAGTTTGTAAAAAAATGTTTTTCCAAATTTATCACCTTTGCAGCGATTTTCTTCAAGATATATTCTCTGATGTTGAAGAAAGTTTCAGCAACAACTTCAGCGTTTTCCTCTAGTACAAAATGTGTAAAATAAGATCTGTAATACAAGTAATGGTACCACAATACTCTTCATGTTAGTTTTTTTTTTGAGATGGAGTGCAGTTGGAGTGCCCAGGCTGCAGTGCGGTGGCACAAACTCAGCTAACTGCAACCTCTGCCTCCTAGGTTCAAGCGGTTCTCCTGTCTCAACCTCCTAGTAGCTGGGATTAGTCATGCACCACCACACCCACCTAATTTTTGTATTTTGGGTAGAGACGGAGTTTCATCATGTTGGCCAGGCTAGTCTTGAAATTCTGACCTCAAGTGAACCACCCACCTCAGCCTCCAAAGTGCAGAAATTACAGGCGTGAGCCACCATGCCCAGCTCACTCTTGATATTTTAATGCTTGTCTTCAAAATAAATACTCTTCTTCACTTTAAAGGCTTATATTTTCTGAAAAATCTATTGACAGTAATTTCATTTTTAATGTTTCTATTAAGTATGAACTCTCTGATATTGAATAAGATGTGAGCAGATATTAATGGCTTCTTCACATTCTTTACATTTGCATAATTTTTCTCAAGTATAAATCATTCCCTGTCCAATAAAGTGTCAGCATTGGTTAAATGTTTTGCCACATTCTTCACACTTGTAGAGGTTTCTAGCTCTAGTATGAAGTATTTTACCTACAATCAAGTGTGACAACCATTTAAAGGTGTTTAGAAATGTTCAGGTGTTGTCAACTGCATTGTTATATCATTCAGGTTTGTACAATTTCTCTCCAGTAATTCTCTTATGTCTGCTAAGAATTAAGGACTTGTTAAAGGCTTTGCCACATTATTCACACTTCTAGGGTTTCTCTCCAGTATAAATTATCTTATGTATAGTGAGTTGTTAATTGGTTAAAAGCTTTGCCACTTTTTTTTTTGAGACGAAGTCTCACTCTGTCACTAGGCTGGAGTGCAGTGGCACGATCTCGGCACACTGCAACCTCCACCTCCCGGGTTCAAGGGATTCTCGTGCCTCAGTCTCCTTAGTAGCTAGGACTGCAGGCATGCGCCACCACACCCAACTAATTTTCGTATTTTTTAGTAGAGACTACTAAATACCATGTAGGCCAGGATGGTCTCAATCTCTTGATCTCATGATCCACCAGCCTTGACCTCCCAAAGTGCTGGGATTACACGTGTGAGCCACTGCGCCCGGTCCATTCTTCATATTTGTCAGTTTTTTCTACGGCATGAATTTTCTTGTGTGTAGTAAGGTTTGAGCATTGATTAAAAGCTTTGCCACATTCTTTACATTTGTAGGGTTTCTGTCCAGTATGAATTACCTTATGCTTAGTGAGAGTTGAGGACCAGTTAAAGGCTTTGCCACATTCTTCACATTTGTAGGGTTTCTCTCCAGTATGAATT